AGCCCTTATCTTCTGCAACACGCTGACAATCCCGTGGACTGGCATCCCTGGGACCCGGAAGCATTGTCAATCGCACGCCAGGCAGACAAACCGATCCTGTTATCGATTGGCTATTCAAGCTGTCACTGGTGCCATGTTATGGCCCACGAGTCTTTTGCAGATGAGGCCACCGCAGCGGTTATGAACGAGCATTTCATCAACATCAAAGTAGACAGGGAAGAACGTCCTGATCTGGATAAAATCTACCAGACCGCCCTGCAACTACTGACTCAGCAGGGCGGCGGCTGGCCGTTAACCATGTTCATTGACCCACAAACGCTGCTGCCATTTTATGGTGGCACCTATTTTCCCAGTACACCAAGACATGGGCTGCCCGGGTTCAGTGATCTGTTGTTGCGCATCGCGGATGTGTTCATCAATAAACGAAACGAACTGAATGAACAGGGCGAGAAGATTCAACAAACGCTGCAGATGATGGTCGCACCGGTACAGGAAGCCACGCTGCAAGATGCAGCCTTGTTAAAAGCCGTTGCAGAAGCTTTGGCGGCCCAATACGACAACGGCGCCGGTGGGTTTGGCGGCGCGCCGAAGTTTCCCATGCCCAATGCACTGGAGCGCCTGCTGTCTCATTGGGCCCATACCCGACGTCTCGGCGGGAACGATAAAGACAGCCTTGATAAGGTCATGACCTCGCTGACCAATATGGCCCGAGGCGGCATATACGATCACCTCGGTGGTGGTTTCTGCCGCTATGCAACCGACAATAAGTGGATGATTCCCCACTTCGAGAAAATGTTGTACGACAACGCACAGCTATTGTCAGTCTACAGCTTTGCGCTGACCCTTGGACCTGACAAGCTGTTTGAAGAAGCTATCGCGGATACCATCGGCTGGCTGCAACGTGAAATGCTGCACCCACAAGGGGGATTTTTTGCCGCCCTCGACGCAGACTCAGAAGGTGAAGAAGGCAAATTTTATGTCTGGCGCCGGGAGCAGGTTAAGAAGCTTCTGACCGAAGACGAATACCTGATCGTCGAAACGCTTTATGGTTTGGATAAACCAGCCAACTTCGAAAACAAATGGAATTTACACCGCTACGACTCCTGGCGATCGGTGATCGAGCGGTTGTCCCTGGCACCTGATTACGCCGACAAACTGCTGCAAAGCGCCAAACAGAAAATGCTGGCCGCGCGCGAAATGCGTGTTCGGCCCGCGACTGACGATAAAATTCTAACCGCATGGAACGGCCTGATGATCCGCGGTCTGGCACACGCCGGCATCAATCAGGCACGATCGGACTGGGTGGTGCTGGCACAGCACACTGCAGATTTTCTCGCCAAACAGTGTTGGGACGGCAACTATTTATACGCGACCTGGCAGCAGGGTTCACCTCGGTATCTGGGTTATCTGGACGACTATGCCAATGTGTTAGATGGCTTGACAACGCTGCTCAGCGCACAGTGGCGCAGCCAGGACATGCAGTTTGCCATTGAACTGGCCGACAAGCTGCTGGAAGACTTTTATGATGTTGAAAACGGTGGTTTCTATTTTACCCGGCACGATCACGAGCAGTTAATTTATCGACCTAAGCCAACCATGGACGATGCCATGCCGCCGGGTAACGCCACCGCAGCCAGGGCATTGTTGACGTTAGGCCATCTGCTGGGGGAAAGCCGCTATCTGGACGCGGCACATGGCACTCTGGCATGGGCACGCGCGGTGATGGAGCGTCTGCCCGCTGCACATTGCAGCCTGCTGAGCGTACTGGAAGAAACGGTTTATCCCACGGACCTGGCGATCTTACGTGGACCCAGTGATCTGACTGAAAACTGGAGCCAGGAAATTCGCGGCGGTTTCACACCCTGGCGCAAAGTGTTTGCAATTCCGTATGAAACAGAGGGTCCACTGCCACCTTATCTGCCAAAACTGGTCAGCACACAGGCACAACAATCGGTAACTGCATTTGTCTGCCAGGGCTTGAGCTGTTCTCTACCCATCACTGATCTGTCTGAGCTTAAGGAAGCACTGGGCTAAACCTGGACAACTTGGGCCAGGACAACTCAGGCCAGTAGAACTCAGGCTAAGACGCGGACCAGGTCAGGTTCAACTCACGCGCGGCTTTCACATCATCCAATCGTCGCACCGGTGTGGTAAACGGCGCCTGCTTCAACAGATTGGCATCTCGATGGGCCTCTTCACGAATCGCAATGAGTGCATCAACATAACGATCCAGCTCTTCCCGACTTTCAGTTTCCGTTGGCTCAATCAGAAAACATTCCGGAATCAGCAGCGGAAAATAAGTGGTTGGCGAGTGCATGCCATAGTCGAGCATACGTTTGGCAATATCCATCGCGTTCACACCCAGCTCTTTGGCTTCATGGGCAAAGGTCAGAATAAATTCGTGGGTTGCGCGACGTTCAGGATAAGCCAGTTTAAAGCCGGCTTTGTGCAACCGCGCTGCCATATAGTTGGCATTCAGCGTCGCGTACTCACCCACACGATGCATGCCTTCCCGCCCCAGCAACAACGCGTAAGCCAGCGCTCGAATCAGAATACCCGCATTACCGGCAAACGCTGACAGGCGACCAATACTCAACGGCAGATCGTCCTGGTCTACCCATCGATAGACCGTTTTGCCTGCCTCTTCCACCTTGGCCACAATAGGCACCGGCAGATGCGGTAACAACCGTTTAGACACGCCAACAGGACCTGCACCTGGACCTCCGCCACCATGGGGTGTGGCAAAGGTTTTATGCAGATTCATATGCAGGACATCGAACCCCATATCACCGGGTTTCACCTTGCCAAGGATGGCATTCAGATTGGCGCCGTCGTAATAGAGCAGGCCACCGGCATTGTGTACGGTGCTGGCAATTTCTTCGACCTGACGTTCAAATACGCCACAGGTAGACGGATTGGTCATCATCAAACCCGCAGTTTGCGGCCCAACACACGCTTTAAGGGCGTCCAGATCAACATCACCGGATGCATCTACGGCTACTTCAGTAACTTTATAACCACACATAACCGCTGTGGCAGGATTGGTGCCATGCGCCGCGCTGGGCACAATAATTTCGGTGCGCGCATCGTCACCCCTGGATTCGTGATAAGCACGAATCATGGCGACCCCGGCAAATTCGCCCTGAGCACCCGCCATAGGCGTCAATGACACGCCTTTCATGCCGGTGACATCACGCAGAATTTCCTGCAGATCATACAGACAGGCCATGTGGCCCTGACTGGCGGCTTCAGGTGCAAGCGGGTGACGCCCCAGAAAGCCCGGCAGATTGGCCGCTTTGTGCGCGCCACGCGGATTATATTTCATGGTGCAGGACCCCAGAGGATAAAACTGGGTGTCGATGGAAAAGTTTTTGCGTGACAGATTGGTATAGTGGCGCACTGCCTGCAGCTCGGAAACTTCCGGTAATGCAGGCGGTTCCGTACGCAGCAGTTCGCTTGGCAGATCTGCCAGAACGCTGTCATCTGCGGCATCCACTCGCTGTGCGCTTGCGCGACGCCCGCTCTGACTGATATCAAATATAGTACTCATGACGCCACCTGTGTTGCGTTTTCCAATACATCGCTGAGCACCGCCACATAACGGGCGATTTCCCCGGGGGTACGTTTTTCCGTGACCGCCACAAGCAGCGTGTTTTCAGGTTCGGTTATGTTCCCGGTGACAAAATCTGACAACGCCAGGCCCGGCAGAACACCCTGGGCCATCATGGCTGTAATGACGTCTGCGGCCGCTATGGGCAGACGCACAGCAAACTCATGGAAATGTGGCCCGTCGAATACTGCACTTACTCCGGGCAGTTTTATCAGTTGATCAAACAACAGCATGGCACCCTGATGTGAGGCCAGGGCTACCTCACGCAGGCCCTGCCGACCTACCAGACTGAGATAGATGGTGCCTGCTGTTACCAGCAAGCCCTGATTGGTACAGATGTTGGACGTCGCTTTACCACGACGGATATGTTGCTCGCGGGCCTGCAGAGTTAATGCATAACCTACTTTACCGTCCAGGTCTTCGGTTTGGCCGATGATGCGGCCGGGCATTTGCCGGACCAGCGCCTGGCGGCAACAGGTAAAGCCAAAAGAAGGACCGCCGGAAGCCATGGGCACACCAAAAGGTTGGCCATCACCACAGACAATATCTGCGCCTACACCCTCGCTCCCCCAGTCACCCGGTGCTTTCAGCACACTCAAGGTCATGGGATTGACCACCGCAATCACCAGCGCACCCAGTTCATGTGCCCAATCCGTCAGCGCATCCACGCTTTCCAGCCGGCCAAAAAAATTAGGTTGCTGGATGACCACTGCTGCGGGAGACACATCGTCTGGCAGCGAACGGATATCCACAATACCGCTGGGGTCTAACGGCAGCGTCTCAATCTGGATGTCCTGATTCTTCACAATATTCCGCGACGTGTCGGTGTAGTTTGGATGCACTGAATCCGCCACCAGCACCAGACCGCCTTTGTTCTTTTTATTCCCGCGCAAGGCCATCAACATCGCTTCAGCCAGGCCGCTGGCACCGTCGTAGACGGATGCGTTGGAAACGTCCATACCGGTCAGGGCAGCCATCATGGACTGATACTCGTAAATCAGCTGCAACGTGCCCTGACTGGCTTCTGCCTGATACGGGGTGTAGGCCGTCATGAATTCACCGCGGGTGGTGATATCCCATACCGCCGCGGGGATATGGTGGTCATAGCTGCCCGCACCCATGAAACAGGTATAGCCTGCATCAGCTTCCGCGCGTTCAGCAAGCACCTGCAGCATGGCCATTTCACTGCGGCCAGCGGGCACGTCCCGCAAACTGCCATTTGCCAGGTGCGCCGGAATTTCATCAAACAGCGCGCTGATATCTGGCGCGCCTATTTCCGCCAGCATGGCGGCTACGTCAGCCTCGGTATGCGGTACAAACGGCATCTGGGCTCTCCTTAATGGATTAGCGGGATTTGTCTAAGTGATGACAGGCACTGCGGTGAGACGGATCAGTGCTCTTCTTCGTCGCAGACTTCCGTATAGGCTTCTGCGTCGAGCAGTTCTTCCAGTTCAGCCACATCGTCAGGCTCTAATTTGAAGAACCAGCCTTCACCGTATGGGTCCTGATTGACCTTTTCGGGCTCATCATCAAGCACACTGTTGATCGCAACAACCGTACCCGTGATGGGGCCGTAGATGTCGGAAGCGGCTTTCACAGATTCTACTACACCCGCCTCCTCCGCTGCGTTTATTTGTTGTCCTACCTCAGGTAGTTCAACGTAGACCACATCACCCAGCGCGTTCTGCGCATGGTCGGTGATGCCTACGGTGACGCTGCCGTCTTCCTCCAGCCTCGCCCACTCGTGGGTGGCTACATATTTATACTCTGCAGGTACTTCACTCATTTGCGGTGCGTCCTTCTTGTTATATCGGATCAAGTTGTTGGGTTGTTTCGATCTGCGTCGATTAACACGCCGCTGATCTAGCCCACCAGATTTTTACCATGCCGGACAAACGGGGGCTTCACTATCTCAGCGGCTTTGGTTTTGCCCCGTATGTCCACCTCGCAGACTCCGCTTGCCGCCCTGGGCAAACGCGCCAGCGCAATACTGAACCCGAGCGTGGGGGAAAACGTTCCGCTGGTGATTATCCCATTCCCAGCCGATGTGGTCACCACCTGACCATGACGTAAAACACCTTTGTCTTTCATGATAAGACCCGTCAATTTCATTGGACATTGACCGCGCTGCGGTTCTATTGCGCTGCGACCGATAAAATCACGATCATCGGGCGACCAGGCGATGGTCCAGGCAATGTTGGACGCCAGCGGCGAAGTTTGTTCGTCCAGGTCCTGTCCATAAAGATTGAGACCGGCTTCCAGTCTTAACGTATCACGCGCACCCAGTCCGGCTGGTTGTACACCGGCTTCGCGCAGGCGTTGCCACAAGCTGATGCCCTCTGCGGGTGGCAACATGATTTCAACCCCATCTTCACCGGTATAACCAGTCCGTCCCACCATCCACTGCCCAAACAACGTCGCACTGAAAGGCGCAAGGTCGGCTGGAACGCTGCCGGGATAACACTGATTGAGGCGGTTGATGGCATCAGGACCCTGCACCGCAATCATCACCAGGGACTGTTGTGCAAAGGTCATGGCAGGCATTTTGTGCTGCTCAAACCAGCTCAGCACCTTTGCGCGTGTCGATGCGTTAACCACACAGCGATAACCTTCCGGCAGCGCGTAGACAATCAGATCATCTAAAACACCGCCGCTTTCATTCAATAAGGCACCATACAGGGCGCCCCAGGTAGACAACTTCGCAACATCATTGGCAACGACCCGCTGCAGAAAGGCCAAAGCGTCAGCACCGTGCACGTCGATGATGGTCATATGCGACACGTCAAACATGCCCACATCGGTTCGCACCGCACTGTGCTCTTCGATTTGCGACCCATAATTCACCGGCATCATCCAACCGGCAAAATCCACCATCTTGCCGCCAGCGGCAAGGTGTTCGTCATACAGTGGTGTTTTCTGCGGCGCTGAATCGTTAGACATAATGCTTCCGTGTAAAAGTAGTGGTTAGGTTTGACGTGTCACGGTCAAGCCCATGGCTTCACGCATGATCTGCTGTTTAACGCCGTCGAGCAGGTTAATTGAAGCAACACCAACGTTGCGCAGCAGAGAAAGACCCGGATCTGAACTGCCATAGACTTTCTGCAATCCGGCAAACAGGCGAATCATCATCTGTGCTCTCACCTGGCGTTGCCGGGCAAAACGTGACCACAAACCGGGCGCAGACAGGTTGGCCGCCGGGCGGGCCACTTCAAGCAATTGTTGTACATCTTCGAGGCCCAGATTCACCCCCATACCGGCCAGTGGATGCACCACTCGCATGGCATCACCGATTAGCAGCACACGAGGGTCTGGTGCGCAGTTCGGCAGACGCTGCTGAGTCAGCGGGAAGGTGAAACGTTGATCAACCTGCTCAATGTCGCCCAGGCGGTGTTCAATGGCAAAACCAATTTCGCGACAGAATTGCGCATCATCAAGCGCCCTGCGCCGCTGGGCCTCAGCTGCACTCTGCGACCATACAATAGAACACAGGTGTTCATCGACGCCAGGCAGAAATGCCAGCGGGCCATCGGTTAAAAAACGTTGCCAGGCGGTATGCTGATGAGGCTGCGCGGTTCTCACAACCGTGGTTAGCGCCACCTGATGCACAGGGTATTGTTGAACTTCAAGATTCATGGCGCGGCGCACCAGCGATTGCGCCCCATCCGCTGCAATCAGGAAGTCGAAACTGCGCACTTCACCTGTCGCGGTTGCCATATCAACACGGTCGCTGAGCACGTCTACACCAGCAATTTCACTTTCCCACAGGGTCAGGTTGGCACGCTGGCTCATCTGTTGCCAGGCGTGTACCAGAAGGGGGCTGACTTCCACCAGCCAACCCAACTGCTGACACCCCACATCTGCAGCATGAAAAGACAATTCACTGTTGCCCCACTGCTCCCAGACCTGCATATGCCGATACGCTGCCGCAGGCGTCGCGCCCCAGATGCCCACGCTTGCCAGCAATGCCTGAGAGGCTGGCGACAGAGCAACATTACGAATATCCATACCGAGTGTGCCGCGCTGCACCTGTGGCGCTTTGCGGTCAATCAGCGTGACTGCATAACCTCGACGCGCTAATGCCAGCGCAGCGGTCACGCCGACCAAACCACCCCCAACAACCGCTATGGTTGAGGTGGTCGCCATCAGCGAGCGCTTGCACCGCGGGACTGTACACGCGGTGTCTGCACAAAAGGCTCAGCCATCAGAGCCTCTATTTCAGCGGGCTGTTTTGGCACGCCATCAGTGAGCACCTCACAACCCTTCCTGGTAATCAGCACATCGTCTTCAATACGAATACCGATACCACGATATACATTAGGCAGGTGTGCGGTACTTTTATCGCGGGGAATATAGATACCAGGCTCGATGGTTAACACCATGCCGGGTTCAAATTCACGCCAACTGGTGTCAATGCGGTAGTCGCCGACATCATGTACATCGATGCCCAGCCAGTGGGAGGTTTTGTGCGGGCAGAGTGCCTTGTAGTCTTCAGCAGCAATAATGTCATCAGGCTCACCTTCGAGCAGACCCAGAGCCAGCAATCCCTCGACTATTATCCTAACAGCTGCTTCATGTGGCGCATTAAAATGATTTCCCGGTTGGCACTGGCTGATCGCCGCTTCGTTTGCCTGCAGCACAATGTCGTAAAGTTTGCGCTGTGCGGTACTGAACTTCCCACAGACCGGAAAGGTACGTGTCACGTCTGCAGCATAATGCTGGTATTCGCAGCCTGCATCGATCAATACAAGATCGCTCTTTTTCAACGCCGCGGTGTTATCGACGTAGTGCATCACACAGGCATTTTCCCCGCCGCCGACAATACACGGATAGGCAGGCGAACGGGCGCCGTGGGACATAAACTCATATGTCAGCTCGGCTTCCAGCTGGCTTTCCAGCATACCCGGCTCACACACCTGCATGGCTCGGCGATGGGCGATGCTGGTGATTTCTGCGGCTTTACGCATCAACTGCTGCTCTTTGGCTGATTTAAACAATCTTAATTCGTGCAGCAGGTGTTTCAGTTCGAGAAACTCTCCCGGGGGTTGAGCGCCACCGGCTTCGCGTTTGCGGATATCAGCTACCCATGCAAGCAGGCGACTGTCAAAATCCGGGTACTCTCCCAACGTCATATAGATGCGTGCTCGCGACTCCAGCAGGCCGGGCAGAATGTCATCCATGTCTGTTATCGGGAACGCGTCGTCCACGCCCAGGTTCTGTGTTGCCCGCTCCGGACCCAGACGTTCGCCGTCCCAGCGTTCAACCTGATCGTCCCGTTCCGCACAAAACAGAATTTCCTGGCCGTGTTCACGACCTGGCACCAGCAGCAACAGGGCGTCAGGTTCAGAAAAACCGGTAAGGTAAAAAAAATCGCTGTCCTGGCGAAACAGATATTGGATATCGCGGTTGCGACGAGCAGGACTGGCACCAGGAATCAGCGCCACAGATCCTGGCGACATCATCGACATCAATTGATTGCGGCGTTTCTTGTAATCTGCGGTACTTATGTTCAAGAACTGTCCTGATTGTCGTCTGTATTGGCCGCTGTACTCTCCGCCTGTTCTGAAATCAGCGTCAATGCAAGCACGGCAGCCACGCGCACGTACTCGTATATTTCCATGTAGGCACTCTCTTCGTGCTCACCACCCTCTACGGATTCATCAAGACTGCTGATACTGGCAAAATCTCGCAGAATTTCCTGCACGTCCAACGGCAAGGCATCCATGGCAGCGCCACCTTCGCTGCCGCCGAATGCAGCACCAAACCCACTCAGGAAACCGGCACACCAGGCGCTCAGACCTGCAAGACGTTGCTCAAGCGGATGTTCATCGTCAGGGATAAGAGGCACAAAACTCATGTCCTGGGCAAACAATCCATCAAGGGCAGCACTGATAAAATCGCTCACCGCGGTTTCATCAGATAAGACGTCTGTACCCATCAACTGGACAAACTCTGACAACAGAAATTGAGCCGGCTCGCCCGCGGCAAAACCGCAGACCACGCCATGTAACTCAGGTGGATCAATAATAGAGGACGCATTCTGCGCAAGGGCTTGAAGATCAGACACGATATATAGGGCTACACAAAGGGAGGTAATCAGAGCAAACTATCGCCCAACCGCGGAATAAATGCCACAGACAAGCATTTAGTTAAGAAGAAAAAGCGTAACTGAGAATAAGAAAGAGCAAGACCATGGCTTCAAACGCTGAAATAGAACAACTCAGCCAACTTGAACAGCAGATCGACGAACTGCTGGTACTGACCACCGTGTTAAGCAAAGAAAACAGAGCTCTGCGAACACAACAGAAAAACTGGTCTACCGAGCGCGCCAAACTGATCGAAAAAAACGAACTGGCAAAAAGCCGGGTTGAGTCCATGATCACGCGTCTCAAAGCGCTGGAAAAAGATTAACAGGCAGACAGGTACACAAGTCACTATGAGTCAACCCGCAAGCACAGTACGCGTCACCATCATGGGTAAAGAATACCAGGTCAGCTGTCCGCCAGATGAAGTCGATGCGTTGACGCGCGCCGCCCAGTTTCTGGATGGCCAGATGGAAACCATACGCGCCTCCGGCAAAGTGGTGGGTTTGGATCGAGTGGCGGTCATGGCTGCACTGAATATCACCAATGATTACCTGTCCGGTCAGAGTGTTTTAAACGAAACCAAAGACGCCGTCGGCCAACGCCTTGAAAGCCTCAACAGCAAAGTCGAAACCGCGCTGGCAAACCACAAGCAACTAGACCTGTAAAGACTTTTCCCTGCTTTCCGCGGGACATCTCCCATACTGCCCAATTTGTCTAAATACAAGTCTTGGACTCGTCGTATGAAGGGCTATACTGATCCTGTTCCTGGGATGTTTGCCAGTTGGTCGCGTCCTTGAGCCGTTAGAGATAACTCAGGAGTTTCTGCTGCCAGCGTCCGTGTGCTTGCCCAACTTGATGGGATGCCTTAGATGTTGCACAGGCCTCCGCCTTGAACCATAACGGTTCAGGGCAAACCAGTAGCGGCATCTCCGGGAACACTTTTACCGCTTGGCGACCTGATGTACCCGATGCATAGGAGGTCTTCATGAGTGACCGGCGAAAAAACCTCCGCAGCCAATTCTCAGATCAGCGCCGCAGCCTGGATGATCAGACACGCCATATCGCGAATCAGCGTGTTGCCGCACATCTGGCAGAATGGCCCCCTCTGCAATCTGCTCAGGTCGTTGCAGCCTACGCGGCCAGCAACGCTGAAGTTGATATAACAACCACTATTGATCACCTGTGGCAGAAATCTGTACAGGTTGCGTTACCCGTCGTCAGTGCCAATGGACAGATGACCTTTTTTGCCTACACCCCGGACAGCGACATACAGACCAATCGATTTGGCATTATCGAGCCGCGCAACAGTGTTGAGATTCTACCCTCGCAGATAGATGTGGTGCTGACTCCGCTGGTCGCCTTTGACGACTGGGGCCATCGCCTGGGCATGGGCGGCGGCTACTATGACCGCTACCTGCCTGAAACCCAGGCTTACGTGCTAGGTGTGGCCTTCGCCTGCCAGTACAGTACAGCTGAACTCCCTCATGAATCATGGGATGTGGGCTGCAACGCTGTGGTCACGGAAAATGGCGTGCTAGAGTTTGCATCCTAGTTGTCAGGTCGGTAGATATGCCCGTTCGAAAAATCATCAATATGGGTCACCCCAACTTACGCAAAGTTGCAGAACCGGTAGCCCTCGACGCGATTGGCAGTGACGCGCTGAATCTCCTGATCGCAGATATGGTGGATACGCTGCACGACTATGGGGGTATTGGCCTGGCAGCACCGCAAATTAATGTCCCGTTACGCCTGGCTATCGTTGAAATTCCAGGGGGACCAAGTCGCTATGGCAAGATTGACCCTTTACCCCTCACTACTTTCATCAACCCCACCATTACGGTGCTCGATCCCACTCCGGCAGGTTACTGGGAGGGCTGTCTATCAGTACCTGGCCTGCGTGGTTTTGTGGAGCGGCCACAACACATTCGTATTGATTACACTGATACCAGCGGCAACCCTGCGGAACTCATATTCGAAGGTTTCTGGGCAACGGTATTTCAGCATGAGTTTGATCACCTGGATGGCAAACTTTATATCGACCATATTGTCGATCGCACCAAACTGGTGTTCGAAGATGAATACCTGCGTTACTGGCAGGACAGTTAATACCCGCCCCCAAACGCCGAAAAAGGGCTACTTCAAAAACAGTTGATAAGCCGGGTTATCACTTTCCTCCCAGAACCGATAGCCGATGCGCTGCAGAAACTTGAGCAGCTTCGGACGCTCCCCGGCGCTGGCGGCAAAGCCAACCAGTACACGTCCATAAGCCGCACCATGATTTCGATAATGGAACAGGGTGATATTCCACTGCGCGCCTACGCCGCTGAGAAACTGCAACAACGCACCTGGACGCTCGGGAAACTCAAATCGAAACAACAGTTCTTCCTCCGCGCCGATACTGCGCCCACCTACCATATGGCGTACGTGCAGTTTGGCCGCCTCATTGTTGGTCATATCCACTACCGCATATCCGCGACGCAACAGTTCAGCCACGGCGTCGTCACGGTCGACCGGCGTCGCAACCTGCATGCCGACATAAATATGCGCCTTTGAATCACGTGCCCAGCGGTAGTTGAACTCTGTTATGGAACGTTTACCCAGTGCCCGACAGAACTTCAGGAAGCTGCCTTTTTCTTCATCGATGGTCACTGCAAGAATCGCTTCGCGCTGCTCACCAATTTCAGCGCGCTCGGAGATATGTCGCAGTCGATCAAAGTTAACGTTAGCGCCGCTGACAATGGCGACTACGGATTGATCCACCGCTGGATTTTCCGTCAGATAACGCTTCATGCCGGCAACCGCCAGTGCCCCCGCCGGCTCCGCAACAACACGGGTTTCCTCAAAGACATCTTTGATTGCTGCACAAACCTCGTCGATGCTGCAAACCACGACATGGTCTACACATTTCCTGGCCACCTTGAAGTTTTCTTTGCCTACCTGCGCCACAGATACGCCGTCTGCAAACAGATCAAGGGTTTCCAGAGGTAACTTCACCCGGCGCCCGGCCTGCATGGCTGCGTGCAGACACGCTGAGCCCTGCACCTCGACGCCAACAATTTTGGTATTCGGATAGAGGTACTTGATGTAGGCCGCAATCCCGGCAATCAGTCCACCACCACCAACAGGTACAAAAACGATATCCGGCCGACGAGGATGCTGATTAACAATCTCCATACCCACGGTGCCCTGGCCGGCAATAACATCCACATCATCAAACGGATGCACAAAGGTAAGGTTATCTTCACTCTGCAATTGCGCGGCATGTGCCGACGCCTGCGGAAAGCCATCTCCATGCAGGACAACTTTTGCACCCCGGGCTTTGACTGCGTCCACTTTAATACTGGGTGTATTGCGGCCCATCACAATAGTGGCTTTGATACCCAGATGGCGCGCCGCCGCGGCAACGCCTTGCGCATGATTGCCTGCTGACGCCGCTATCACGCCGTTTTTCTGCTCAGCAGCGCTCATTTGTGCCATCTTGTTATAGGCGCCACGATTCTTAAAACTGAAAACCGGCTGCAGGTCTTCGCGCTTCAACCAGACTTCCGCGCCCAGACGACGGGACAGTCCAGGGGCTGGCGTCAGCGGCGTCTCCATTGCAAGGTCATAAACCCGGGAACTGAGAATCTTCTTTACATAACTTTCGAGCATGGGCACCATCTTTTCACAATTTCTTTTTCTCGAGACTTGCCATCAGTTCTCCAGCCTCACTCGATCAGAACGCACTCAAACAACAGGCGGCAAAGGCTGCGCTGGCTTTGATAAAACCCAGACTCGAACTACAAAGCGTAGTCGGTGTCGGCACAGGTTCAACCACCAATTTTTTTATCGACGAACTGGCATCGGTCAAGCACCTGTTTGATGCCGCTGTTTCTTCCAGTGAGGCATCCACCGAGCGTCTGCAGGCTCACGGTATACAGGTACTGGATTTGAACGCCACCGCCCGCGTCGACGTTTACGTAGACGGCGCTGACGAAGTTGACCCACGCCGCAATCTCATCAAAGGCGGCGGCGCCGCGTTAACGCGGGAAAAAATCGTCGCCAGTGCGGCGGATGAGTTTATTTGCATTGTCGACGAAAGCAAGCTGGTTAAGGTGTTAGGTCATTTTCCTCTACCTGTAGAGGTGATTCCAATGGCCCGCAGCCTGGTTGCGCGCGGGCTGGAAATCCTCGGCGGTCAGCCAGTCTGGCGGGAAGGCGTGGTCACCGACAACGGCAACTGGATTATCGATGTTCATGGGTTGCACATCAGTGAACCCCTGGCATTGGAAAATGCCATCAATAATCTACCCGGGGTTGTGTGCAACGGCTTGTTTGCACACCAGGCCGCCGATCGGGTGCTGATTGCAGCCGCTGGCGGTGTGCAGGAGCTTTAGCTGCCGCTGCAGGTCCGAGGCTACAGCAGCTTGCCCGGATTGAGGATCTGGTCGGGGTCAAACAGCGATTTCAAACCCCGCATTAGGGTGATCTCACCCGGGCTGCGGGAATAGTTCAGAAAATCCCGCTTCAACAAACCAACGCCATGTTCCGCGGAAATACTGCCGTTGCGCTGTTGTACCAGTTCGAAGATCTTAGGACTCATGGCGTGACCTTTGGCCATGAACTCTGCAACACTCAGGTGTTCCGGGCGCAGAATATTCAGGTGCAGATTGCCGTCGCCAATATGGCCGTACCAGCAGACTTCGAAGTCCGGATAGCTGTCCGCTACAAACTTATCCACATCCTGCAGGAACTCGGGCACCTGGGACACACAAACTGACAGGTCGTTTTTATAGGGCGTATAAGGGGCAATGGATTCTGAGATGCCTTCTCTGAGCTGCCACAGCGCCTGGGCCTGCGCTTCCGACTGACTGAGCACACCGTCGATCACCCAGCCCTGGGCCATGGTGTGTTCAAAGGCTGCGGACGCTGCGTCTATGTCTACTGCATCAAACTCCAGCAGCGCATAGAACGGCATCGACTGTGCCAGCGGCGCAGGCAGATCGCGATGCGCGCGCACTTTAGTCAACGCAAGGTCAGAAAAGAATTCAAATGCCGACAACGTCAGATGGTCGTTAAAGGTATGCAGCACCTGCAACAGATCGCCGACTCGTGGCACACCCAGCACCATGACACTGTGAGGCAACGGCGCTCGCGCGAGTCGCACATCTACTTCGGTGATCAGTCCCAGAGTACCTTCCGAGCCGATAAGCAGATGACGCAGATCGTACCCGGTTGCATTTTTCACCAGCCCTGCGTTGCAGTTGAGCAATTCACCGGTACCGGTAACAACGCGCAGACCAGCCACCCAGTCTCTGGTTAAGCCATAACGTATCACTTTGATACCACCCGCATTGGTAGCGACATTGCCGCCAATCTGACTGGAACCTGCTGAGGCAAAGTCCACCGGGTAAAACAGGTCATGCGATTTTGCAAAGTCCTGCAGGCTCGCGGTGACCACACCCGCCTGGCAGGTGACACGCTGCTCCTGCTGGTCAAATTCCAGAATCTGGTTCATGCGATCAAACGACACAACTATTTCGCCATTAGCTGCAACCGCGCCGCCTGACAAACCTGTTCTGCCGCCAGAAGGCACCAGTGCGGTTTGGCTTGCTCGCGCGTAGTTCACCAGCTCAACCACCTGTTCGTTGGTTTCCGGAAAAACCACTGCGCTGGGGGCTACGGTAAAACCGTTGGTCCAGTCTTTACCCCAGATCGATAAAGACTCCGGGTCGGTTTTGATTTGTTTCGCAGACAGAAATTGATTTAGCACAGTCGATCCAGATGAGCGATTAGGCCTATCCTACCAATCACACTGTGCATCGAGATAGCGCCACATTTGCCCGCGCAGGTACGGTGACTCATTTGCAAGGTGATGACGCCCACCGGTGATGATCCACTGATGGCTCTGCGGATACCGTCTGCTGAACACTTTCAGGTTGTGGTCCGCATCAACAGTACGATCCTGATCACCCTGCACAATCACCGGCGCCAGGTCAGATTCCGGATAGTGTTCAAAGCGTTTGAACCATTTAACCATCGCCTCAACCCAGGCTACCGGCAGAATACGGGCCTGCAGCGGGTCAATCGCCTGCAGGTCATGAAATTCCGGATTTTCAGCGTTATCGCTCAGCACCCGCGGACGCGATGTGATGGTCAACTTTGCCAGCGCAAACACCCAGCGGTTAAATCCCCAGGCATATGGCCTGACCAGCGGCGCCAGCAGAATGATATTGCCGAGACGTATCTGCGGCTTATGGTGAAGATATTCCATGACAATGGCGCCACCCATGCTTTGGGCAATCCAATGCAGCGGTTCGTGCGGCGTGGGAGACAGTTTAGCCAGCGCGAAGTCGGTTACTGCGCGCTGGGCAGCGACATAGGTATCAAAACTATCGATGACCACCTGCTCTCCGGACGACAGTCCATGGCCAATCTGGTCAAAAGTGATCACGGTGAGCTCTTTGAGCATCAGATACTCGATGACCGAGGCAAACAGTCCAACATGGTCGTAATAACCATGGCACAACATGACATGCCCCGTAGTCACTGTAGGTTCAAAGACCTGGACCACCAGGCGATGCCGCAGCGCCTCGAACACCATCATCTGATGCTGATGATTTATGTGCGGGAAGAGCAAACCATAAAACTGCCGGTATTCAAGCGTAACCGCAGAACCTGCCACGCCCTTGTCTGAAAGCGCAGCGAGATGCGCCTGCAGAGCGTCAGCATCAAATTCCGCTGACCCTCTGACGACGGCTGTATGAATTGGGGTATCCGTATTAGAGGACAACCTGTTTCAGCTCGCCCGATGCGTAACGGGCGAACATGTCTTCTAACGACACAACTTTAATTTTGCTCGCCTGGCCCGCGGTATTGAACGCCTCATAACGCTCGATCACCAGCTGCTTCATGGCGTCCTGGGAGTCTTTCAGGTATTTACGTGGGTCAAATTCCGCTTTGTTTACAGCCAGGTGTTTGCGAATGGCAGCAGTGCTGGCAAGGCGCAGATCGGTATCGATGTTCACCTTACGCACACCGTGTTTGATGCCTTCCTGGATTTCAGACAACGGCACACCATAGGTTTCCGGGATTTCACCCCCGTACTCATTGATGATCGCCAGCAGATCCTGCGGTACTGAGCTGCTGCCATGCATCACCAGATGGGTGCCAGGAATGCGATCGTGAATGGCTTTGATACGTTCAATCGCCAGAATATCGCCGGTAGGCGGACGACTGAACTTGTAGGCGCCGTGGGAAGTACCAATGGCAATCGCTAAGGCATCCACATCCGTCTGTTTGACAAAATCCGCCGCTTGCTCTGGATCTGTGAGCAGCTGGTCCATGGATAAAGACCCTTCAAAACCAACACCGTCTTCTTCACCCGCTTCGCCGGTTTCCAATGAGCCGAGGCAGCCTAATTCGCCTTCAACCGAGACACCACAGGCGTGGGCCATGTCTACGGTCTGTCTGGTGACGTCGACATTGTAGTCATACTCGGCAGGGGTTTTCTGATCCGCCAGCAGAGACCCATCCATCATGACCGAGGAGAAACCCAGCTGAATAGAGCGCTGACACACGGCTGGCGATGCACCGTGATCCTGATGCATAACCACTGGAATATGAGGAAACTCTTCTATCGCGGCGAGAATCAGGTGGCGCAGAAAATTAGGCCCCGCGTACTTTCTTGCACCCGCTGACGCCTGCACAATCACCGGGCTGTTGGTGACATCAGCGCCTTCCATGATGGCGCGCATCTGCTCAAGATTATTGACGTTAAAGGCGGGAACCCCGTAATCGTTTTCGGCTGCATGGTCCAGCAGTTGCCGCATGCTGATTAAAGCCATCGTGATCTCCAAAATGTGGATAAATATTGCGACCGCATTCTAGTGATATCGGCGGCGCACGTCATCGGCTGTGTCCGCCTGAGTTTGTAAACACGCGCGCGGTAGCTATGCCTTTCGAGCCCGCATCTGCAGCATAGCCACTGCAGGCAGCGTTTTGCCTTCCACAAACTCCAGAAACGCCCCACCCCCAGTGGATATATAGGAAATGCCTTCGGTCACGTCATATTTATCAATCGCAGCCAGGGTGTCACCACCGCCAGCAATTGAAAACCCATCGCTGGCGGCTATGGCTTCCGCCAGAACACGCGTGCCTTCGCCGAACTGATCAAATTCAAACACACCGATCGGCCCATTCCACAGAATCGTTTTTGCCTTAACCAGCAGTTCTGCCCAGGCTCTAGCCGATACAGGCCCGATATCAAGGATCATGTCGTCATCGGCAACATCATCAATGGCTTTCAGAACCGCAGGTTCATCAGCATCAAACGCTTTGCCTACCATCACGTCCACCGGAATCGGCACATCAACTTTTGCGGCAATCTGTCGGGCTGCGTCCAGCAGATCAGCTTCGTAAAGAGACTTACCCACGTTGTAGCCCGCCGCAGCAATAAACGTATTCGCGATGCCACCACCAACGATGATCTGATCAGCTTTATCCGCGAGGGCGCCGAGCACCTCTAGTTTGGTAGAAACTTTAGCACCGCCGACAATGGCCACCATGGGATGAGCGGGGGCCGCCAGAGCTTTACCCAGCGCATCAAGTTCTGCTTC